ATCCCAATTGAAGCTGAGCTTTCAGCATGGGTCTAAATGACTTAAATTCTTTCATCCCCAACGGTATTTCGAAAACAGAACTGGCATTATGATTCCTATACTGCATCCTTGTGATCGGATGATGAATTGATATGAGTCACGTGTTGATATGAGTCACGTGTTGATATGAGTCACGTGGAGAGTGTCTTGCACATAGTTAATGCTGACAACCAATGCTGGCTGCTACTGTAGTGATTATTGGCTCAGATTTTTCTCAACCCAAATATCAAAAAGATAACATGATTATTATGGAAACAAATTAGTATAATTTTCCTCCCTTCCATATGTTCCTTTTGATTCCATTTTTTAAAAAATTGTGAATTACCTATTCTTGCACTTGAAAGGCATAAGGAAAGTGCAGAGTTTCAAAATAATATTTATTACTTATAATAGGTATGTCCCAGGCATTGTTTGAAAGATTTCCCTATGTTAATATTAATTAAATGTAATTAATATACAATTGTGTAATAGATAACTATGTATAAATTTATTTTATCTTCATAGTATCCATATCAATACTCACTCTCCTTGTCATCAACTTGATGCTGACGCATAGTAGCTCCGGAGGCCAGAGTAGAACTGTCTCTGTGGGTGGTCAAGACGGTAACTCTTCATGGAGTAGACATCCTAGTCTCACCCCTGGGAGCCACTGGGGGTTTAGAACTGCTTACCTTGCAGTGAGCAGCCTATCATGAAAGCCAGTACACCCCCAGGGTTCCTCATCGGTGTCCATAACTACCACTATAGGGATTTGGTAGGCTAGGAAGCTGAAACTCCAAGACCTGAAGTACCTGTTCAAAACATTTCCCCTTATGAGTCAATGAGTCTGGTTTTACACCCAAGAAGTGTCCCTTCACAGGCCCAACCTCTGCCCCTGGAAATAGTCCCCTTGTCACCTTTCATGAAATGAGCAGTAACGTTCCTTGAGAGGTGTTTTAAAAGGTTATCATTTTGTTGGATGTTTTCTCTGTACACCTTTTAAAAGGTGTTTAACTGATCAATGCGGGGTGCAGAGCAGCAAGCCACACACATATTTCCTCAAAGGGTACACAGATGTACATAAAACAGGAAAGCACGATGCCTTGACTCATGCATCTGCTTTTACAGCTCACAGGGGATTCCTTTCTTTCTTTTTTATTGGCCTTGCAAAACGAGGCTGGAATCGCCATTGGCTGCAAGCCAAGCTTCTTCCAGGTAAAACTCTGATTTCAGTCTCTGATTTCAGACAGTACAGATTTTTTTTGTGATACTGCATGGGCATTTTTCTTTCATTCCACCTTTGAATTTGATTTATTGTGTTGGTGATAAGAATATGCACAGCAACACACACAGCAATTCAGCAGTTTCTACATGTAAGATTTAGAGACACGGATCACATTCTTCAAGTTTCTCACCTCATTTTCGGAGTTGTTCTCCCACATTAACAGACACCCATCAGGCCCTGGGGTCCTTTCAAATCTTTAAGTTGCTATTGTCAGTTTTAGTCCATATGCATAGCTCTTAAAAGAGAATACTATTCAAGGTAGACCTTTTTTCAATTTTAATTTTTTACTGGTTAAGCTAAACTGTCGTTTGGTTGTAAGAAGGCTGCCAGGGATATTTTTGGCTTAAAGTTTAAAGATTACCCAAAGGCAGTAGTTTCAGGGGGTCAACCCTCCTCCATGGATCCAGACGGCTGGATTCCATGAGAATTTGAAATTCTGATCTACATCTCTCCCCTTTTCATCAGGAGTCTTCTAAGGCAGTGGTTCTCAACCTTCCTAATGCTGCGACCCTTTAATACAGTTCTTCATGTGGTGGTGACCCCCAACCATAACATTATTTTCGTTGCTACTTCATAATTGTAATTTTGCTACTGTTATGAATCGGACGATAATGTTCGATAATGGTAGGCAGGTACCATCCTGTCCAGGTTTTATGGCAAACGTTGCAGTTTTTCATGGAAGCAAAACTAGCCACACATTTCAGCCTGATTCTCCTTCTTCATCTGTTGTTCCTGGTGAATAAAAACTAATTATTAGGCCTTGGATTACTATCTGCAAACTCTAAGACCCTAGGCACTGTGCAAAGAACTAGCAGGTAGAACAGAAGCGTTGAACTTGTTACCAGACCCGTTAACTGGACCATAAAACTGTGATCCCTTTTAAAAAAATGTTAAAACAGTTTCAGATTTACAGAGAAATTCTTTCAAAAATACAGAGAGTTCCCATAAGCTTCACCATACACGATTTATCCTGTTATTATCATCTTACACATTTGTCAAAATTGATGGACCAATACTAATACTTTATTATTACCTAGAATCTATATTTTACATTAGGGTTAAATCTATGTCTTTGTTACCTAAATGTATACTATCATGTATCTACCATTACAATACCAAGTAGACTAGTTTTACTCCATGCCTGTGTTCCATCGATTTATCCCTCCTACACTCCCCCTGGAATTCTCTCTAAAGTGCTTCCTTTTCCAGAATCTCATTTTGTTGGCTGCATGAAGTATGTGTTTTTTACCAGGCTATATTGTATGCATTTTAACTTTTTATGTATGCATTTTTATTAACTTATTTGGGAATGCCACTACTCAGGCATTCCCATTTCCATCCAGGGAACCCTTTCTGTTGACAAGGGAGAAGTCATATTCCTTAGGATGACATAAAGATTCCATTTCTGTAAATAGCACTTATGGAGAACAGTTGCAGACTTAAAAATAATATGACCTCTTCCTTTTCCCAGCTTTGAAACTGATGGCACACTTAATATCTGAAAATAATATAATATATTATTAAATATAATATGACAATATAATATATTTTAAAGAAATAAAATATTAAAATAAATGTAATATTAGATATAACATAAAAATGATTCCATTGTTAGCCCTTAATAAATGGTACAGTCCTAAGGTCCATGTGTTCTGTGGAGTAGGGTGTTAGGTGATTTCGGTGGCGTGTGAACATGGCATTGTACACTGGTGGTTTCCGGATCACAAATGAGTCCTGTTTTTAAGTCTTTCTTTAAGTTGAATTTGTATGTATGCTAGCCAGTTAGGTGTATTTTTTTGATCTAACATCAATTATTCAAATTTAGAGGAGATAGTGTACCATTCTACAAATAAAAAAATATCAGGGAAACACACCAGATATACTAAAACATCATTAACATAATAATACAAGAGTAATGATTTGAGGCTCATTGCGAAGGATCGCCTGTTTTTTTTAAATTATGCCCCATTGTATGTAACTCAAAATATTAATATAATAGAATCTATGGGGATTGGAACCATGGACACGATGTTCTGCAGTTCATGCTTGTATACCAATGTTTGTCTATATTTCAAACAGTACAATGAGTGATTGCCAACGTATATGAGTGGAGCATGATTGTCCAAATATTTATAGTATGATTGATGGCTTAAATAAAAACATCATTTAGCACAGTTTCTCCCAATCCCATATGTGACTCTGACATAACATTTAACACTATTGTATGTTATACAATATACAATAGTAGTTCATGGGTCTGTCTCACAAAGTAGGGTAACTTCCTTGATGACAGGGGTCAGGTTTTATTTATTCTTGTGTCCTGGAAATCTATATAAGATCTGTCTCACATTGTGCACCACCGGGAAAAATGCTGAGTGCAGGAATAAATGGATGATGTTGGCAGTAATTCAATAAACCTCAATGTATACTTCATATCCATCCCTGATGATCACAGATGCAAAGATGAATAAGTGATTTCCTGTCCTATGAAGATTTCACATGCTAGGAGCAGCTACTATAAGTAATCACACTGTATGGCGGGAGATGTGCTAGAAAAGAGACGTCTGGAGGTGCCGCGTGACTAGGGAGGCATTTAGGACGACAAATAGTGCAGGGAAGGCTTCACCAGAGGAACTCAGCTGCCTCACCCAGAGGGCGAGCTGCGATAAGTAAAGGAGTCTGGAGCAGGGGGGCTCCAGGTTTGTCCTTTTAGCCATCCATCCTGCTTTCAATATTCTTCACCAGTACCGTCATTCAAATGCTTCTATCCTTCTTCGTCTTCCTTATTCAATGTCCAACTTTCACGCTCATACGGGGCAATGGATAATACCATAGCGTGGGTCAGGCATATGTTAGTCCTATTTAATACAGAATGGGAGATTTTGACACTACTAGCCAACATTCAGCTGAAGTCCAGAGCCATGAACAGTTCTGGAACTTACTCGCAGAGGGAAAGTACCCAAACATGAGAAAATGTGCTACCTCCTTGACTGCATGATTCGGCTCTACTTATTTATGTGAGTCAGCCTTTCCCCACATAAAGATCATTAAGTCCAAGTCCATGACTGATGATCATTTGGAAGTGTGCTTGAGGCTGGCTGTCAGCAGCTACTGTCCGGACTATGCATCCCTGGCTCATTCCATTCTGTGCAAGTCATCAGACTAAACTCAGGTAATGACAAAAAATGTACACAGTTAATTGTGTTGTGTTGTGCAACATGGACTCCTGCGGACATGCAAAGTACAGAAACATACATTGTACATATAAAGAATTCTCAATGCATTTATGAATAAATGTAATAAATAAATAAAAATAAGTATGTTTTGTAGTTGGTAGATCATTTTGACCTGATCATTTTATAAGTAGCTCGCATGCTGAAAAACTGTGAGCATCCCTGCTCTAGATGGCAATGGAAAAATTATAGACAAAATATTTCCTTCTAGTGTGTTTGAGGAGCAAAATTAGCTTTGTATTTGTTGAATTTATCTCTTAATTTACTTATTAAAATTATAAAGTTATTGAGAGCATTTTACACAATATCCAAGTGGGCTTCATAAAGTTAATGAGAAAAAAGGAATTAAGGGATAATGGCATTTTCCCATGAACTTCTTGAAGCCCCTCCTATAATCTGAAATTGTTAATCATGAACATATCTATGCACTTTTATTGAATGTTGACTTTCTTTATTAAATGCAGTTCCAGTTACAGATGTTCGATATTGTTTGTTCCACATTATGGGCCAATAAAGACAAATGCTGTGAACTTCCAGGCCTGGTAAGACTGCTTTCATGATTTGTTCTGTACTTTAAAAAAATTCTTTATAATTGTATTACATCTTCTCTGAAGATGGACAGGCATTTCTCCACACTCACGTCGTCGATGGTTCATTGTGATGAGAGTTCGAATTAGAAAGAGGTTAAGAAAGTGTCATGCCAACACCGCCATGTATGTCCATGTGCTGTCTGCCAATTCCGGGAGCCACCACTTGGTTCACAAATTCCACAGTGTCGCAGTAATTTTGTTATGGTGCAATCTAGGCCAAAGGAAATACCTCTCATTTCCATCTTTGAATTAGTTCTGAACACTGAAGAAGTGTTTATGTTAACAACTTCGTGGCTGTATAAAAAAATAAGACACACAAACTGGAAGAAAAATTATCTGTTGTTTTCATTCTTAACAACCACAATTATCTACCAACAGGATGTGTGTGCTTATTGGCCACGGGACCAGAATAAACAAAACCAAACTCACTGCCATTGAGTCAATGCCGACCCATAGGGACCCTGTAGGACAGGGTAGAACTGCCCTCTGAGCTTCCCAGAGGTCTTTCTCCTGTGGAACAGCTGGAAGCTGCTGGAAGCTCAGATTGCAGCCCTGTGTATAACAACTGCCCACCAGCGCTCCTTGGGAACTGCATAGTTCCTCCAATCAGGCAGCCCACCACCCCTGCTCCCTGTTCCACACTGACTTTTCCCATGGCACTTGCTTTTTATCACAGCAACTGCTGCAAGCCACTTTTCCAGGAATGCCAGTACTGAAAAGAGCATTTAAAAATGAAATCATGTTAGAACTGTGAATTACCTTGAGCTTGTGGTTTAGGTGAAGTACAATGAATATTAATTATTGCTGTGTTTCCCTTAAACTTTCGAAACATCCCACAGTGCCTGGAGCACCCCAGGCTTGCTGGCCACATGGTTTTGAATTGCAAGCACAGAGTATATAATCTATGCAATGCTACTAGGAAGCCATTTCCCCTTTTTATTAATACCCATGTAATCAATGAATCATGTATATATTATATATATACACACACACATACATACATACAGGAATACCAATTCATATTTTAAGATCCTTAGGAGGCGGTGAAAGGAACCCTAGTGGTGTGTAGTGGGTTACTTGTTACTCATTGGGCTACTAACTCAAAGGTCAGCAGATCGAATCCTCCAGCCACCGTGAAGGAGAAAGATGAGGAATTCCGCTGTCATAAAGATTTACAGGCCTGGAAACCCACAGGGCCCCTTCTACTCTGTCCTATAGGGTCACTATTATTTGGAAATGACTCAATGACAGTAGGTTTTTGTGTTTTTTTCTTTCTTTGAGAAGCCAGTAAACAGAACTGGATGGTGCTGTTTTTTGTAGTTTGTGACTCCCAGGTACCATCCATTTTTTATATGCAGAAAAGATTTATTAGTAGGGAAGAATATGCTCTGCCTTTTTAATCTTAAATAAGATTTCTCTAGACTGTCTTATTAACAGTTGCTCTCGGTCCCCTCCTCAGAGAGATGAAGAGACTTGCCCTGAACTTCCACACTCCTGCTCCTGCTCAGAAGGCAGCACCAAGGCTCTGGGACCAGCAGGCCCACCAGTAAGTCTTGCCGAGTTTGGGCTTCCTATGTTTTTGAGTAGTCTATGAATAATCAGACATTCATAATCACACATCCATTAATATTGGGCACTGAACTTAAGGCCTTGCCTATGATTTACTTAATCATATACATACGCTCTTTACAGTGATAAAAAGCAAAGATAGCCATTTGAGAACTAAGGGGAGCCCCACTCAAGCCATGGTATTTCCATTACTGGCCGCCCATGCCCGTGGAAGCTGGGCGGTAAATAAGGAAGATTCAGAGGCATTAGTGCATGTGAATTATGGTGTTGACAAAGGAATATTGAAAAGACCATGAACCACCAGAAGATGAACAATTCTGCCTTGGAAGAAAGATAGCCAGAATGCCCTGTAGGAATGGGGATAATGAGACTTCGTCTCACCTCCTTTATCAGGAGAGACTAGTCCCTGGAGAAGGACATGATGCCTGGGGAGTAGCAGGGCAGGGAAAAGGGCACGAGGGATCGGCACAGTAGCTGCAGCCTGGGTCGAACAGAAAAGCAGTGGTGAGGATGGCATTCTGGTATCCATAAGGTGACTGTGAGTCAGACCTCGCTGGACAGGACCTAACAACCAAAACAACAAGGTATAGTCAAGACAGCAGCCAGGGCTTCGGCCACCTGAGAAGGGAGAGGGATAGAGAAGAGGAGGAAGAGCCTGGACAAGACGGAACGACGCTGGGACTGTCACTACGGGCTCAAGCCTTGAGAGGGCAGCACGGGATGGGGGTGTTTGATTCTGTGGACGTGGGTCTCTGTGAATCCGTCAGAGTTGAGTTGGCTCTTTGGCACAAGAGTCAACCGGGCACAGAGATGCAAGGAGCTTACTGAAAGAACACAGTGTGGCCGAGCTGGGCTGTGGTCCCAGAAAGCGCTGCCTCCTTAGGAGATGCACTTACCCATCTTATCATACTGCCTGTCATATCCGTGAAGATCAAGGATTGCAGCCTTCAGTACGATCACGACTCGGTGTAAAGCAGACCTGAATCCACACCACTGAACCAACAGGTAACATGATAAACGGAGAAAAGGTTAAATTGTCAAGGATTGTGTCTTGGATCCACAATCAATGCTCAAGGAAATTATAGCCAAGAGATCAAATGGCGCATTGCCTTAGGAAAATCCATTGCACAAGACCTCTTCGGAGTATTGAAAAGCAAGGAGGCTCTTACTTTCAGGACTAACATATGCCTGACCCACGCTATGGCATTATCTATTGCCCCATGTGCGCGTGACAGTTGGACATTGAATGAGGAAGACTGAAGAAGAATTGATGCATTTGAATGATGGTGCTGGGGAAGAATATGAAAAGCAAGATGGACGGCTGAAAGGACAAACCAGTCTGTCTTGGAAGAAGTATGGCCAGCATGCTCCGTAGAGGCAAGGGTGACAAGACTTTGTATGACATATTTCGGACATGTTGTCAGGAGAGACCAGTCCCTGGAGGAGGACATCATGCTGGGTAAAGTGGAGGGGCAGCGACAAAGAAGCAGCCCCTCCATTAGACAGAGGGTCACAGTGGCAGCAACAATGGACTCAGGCATAGGAGCAATTGCAGGGACGGTGCAGGACGCTGCAGTGGTTCATTCTGTTGTGCACACGGCCACGATGGGTCCGAGCCGTCTCGATGGCACCTAACCACAGCCTCTCCCATCGCCACAGAGTCCCAATCTTCTCTTTAACAGGCAGCTGTTTATTCCCAGTCTAAATGCCTTGACCAGGGGCCCTGTGCTTGTTCCTGGAAGATTTCCGTCCCATTCCTTTGCCCATTCTGGATCTGGCTAGACCAGAGGATGTACACTGATACAGATAGGAAGTGGAAATCCAGGGAATCCAGGGTAGATGAACCCCTCAGGACCAGTTGTGAGAGTGGCGATACCAGGAGGGTGGAGGGAAGGTGGGGTAGAAAGGGGGAACTGATTACAAGGATCTACATATAACCCCCTCCCTGGAGGATGGACAACAGCAAAGTGGGTGAAGGGAGACCTCGGACAGTGTAAGACATAATAATAATTTATAAATTATCAAGGGTTCATGAGGGAGGGGGGAGAAGAAGGGAGGGGGAAAATGAGGAGCTGATATCAAGGGCTCAAGTAGAAAGCAAATGTTTTGAGAATGATGATGGCAACCTATGTACAAATGTGCTTGACACAATGGGTGGATGGATGGATGGATGGATGGATGGATGGATGGATGGATTGTGACAAGAGTTGTACAAGTCCCCAATAAAATGATTAGAAAAAGAAAGAAGGAGCCAGTAGGTAGGAAAGTGAAAACAAGCAATCAATGGACCACACGCACAGTTAACGGTGAACATGCCAGTCAGAGCTCACAGTTGCCTTGACAAGCCGTACAACCACTCTGGGGCAGAAAGACCGAGCTGCCTACTGCTGTGAAGACGTAGTGTCAGAAACCCGAGAGAGGACCACTGGTTTCCAGTCATAGCTCAAGGGAGGCATCTTGTCCTGCTCTTCAAACCATTGCCATTGAGTGGTCTCTGCTGGCACTGCCCCATGGGGCTTCCGAGGCTGGAACATTTGCAGAAGCAGACTGCCACATCTTTTCCCATGGTGAGGCTGGCGAATTTGAACTGCTGGCCTTTTAGCTAACAGCCAAATGCTTAAACACTGTGCCACCTGGGAACCTTCCTATCTACTAGCAGGTATTTTTGTCACACACACACACCATCATTTATTCAGAATGCAGGTTTTCAAGCTTCTTAGCTTTGAAGAATGTCTGACATTTCAACCATTCCTTTCCTGATCATAGGTCCAAGTTCATATTTCCTTGTTTTTATTTATCCAGTTCTTGAGTTTCCCAGAAAACCTCTGTCTCCTTCCGTCCTCCAGGAGGGCAGTCTCAGTGCCTGTGTCTATGACTCCAGTTTCTTCTTCATTCTTCTCAAGATTAATTAAGATCCCATTCTTTGTTACGATGATGTTTATTTTATTTTAATAAGTGTTTGTAGCTGGAGGGCTTTCAAATCTGCAACGTTGCTGGAACAAGTCATTAAATATTTACATTTGACCGTAAGCGTCAAACTTTCCAAACAGAAAAGTGCAGCGGAGGAGAGAAAGAGAAGCTGGAGTTCTTACCAGAGGGCAGAGGCATGTAAAATAAGGGGAAATCGTTGAAATCATCCATGATTAAAGTTAATAACCCATTTATGACACAGTATTCCAAACAATGTACAAGAAGGCTTGAACAACAATTGATCTTATTTATGTCCAGGAATTCAGTAAGCAGAATTACATGTCACTCAAGAGGAGGGCATGGTGAAAGAAATAGATATGTTTTGCCCACATGTGTTTTTTCTTATTCAAAAGATGGATTTTTTTTATACTTCAAGTTTATAACTTTTATTTATTAAAAAAAATTTATATTCAAATTTTGGTGAGTTTTGATGTTTTTCAAAGTATTTAAATAATTTTACTGGGGGCTTGTCCAACTCTTATCACAATCCATACATACATCCTTTGTGTCAAGCACATTTGTACATTTGTTGCCATCATCATTTTCAAAATATTTTCTTTCTACTTGAGCCCTTGGTAACAGCTTTTCATTTCTTTTTTTTATTTTATTAGGGGCTCATACAACTCTTATCACAATCCATACACACATCAATTGTGTAAAGCACATTTGTACATTCATTGCCCTCATCATTCTCAAAACATTTGCTCTCCATTTAAGCCCCTGGCATCAGGTCCTCATTTTTTCCCTCCCTCCCGGCTCCCCCCTCCCTCATGAGCCCTTGATAATTTATAAATTATTATTTTGTCATCTCTTGCCCTGTCCGACGTCTCCTCAAAAGATGGACTTTTTGTGCGTACAAAAGTTTGTTGAATTCTTGTGCTCACTGATGAGAGTTAGGATTAAGGCAGAAAGTAAGTTACAAGTATAAAAAGTTATTCCTCGGTAATATTCACAATCTTTATGGCGTGATTACCTGTGAGACAAATCATGACACTGGGACAAAATATTCAATTAAAAAGTAGTGATTCAAATGTGAATTACAAAGAATTGTGATAGACTGGGTATGTTCTTTGGTGTACATTAGGTTGCCAGAATATGGAAAACCTGGCCAACCGAGTAATGCAATGGTTAGGAGATGAGAACCTTCGCTGGTCAGCGAATGGCTCAGAAGGAGGTAGCCCGAAGGCCGATGGTGCTACGTGATCACTTCGATGAGGCCCCGAGCTTGTCTCAGCTGCCCACGTGGCTTTCCTCAGTGGTTCAGATTTTCCTTCTTAGGCCCGTTCCTTATCGGTCACATTGACCCACAATGGTGACCATGCCGATGTCCGGTTGCAAAGACGTCTTTGAAAATAATGATCTAGCTTTTTCATTAGTAAGTAGCCTGCCTGCCTGGGGGAATATATTTGCAACGTATAACAGAGCTGTTGCTCGAGGTCCCATCTATTTGGCTCTGAGGCAGAGGGAATGCCCAACGCAGTGAAACACGGCCCCACCTGGGCCATCCTCACGGTTGGGGCCACAGGATCAATCCACCTTTTTGAGGGTCTTCCTCTTAACACTGCCCTTCGGCTTTACCAAGCACGGTGCCCTTCTCCAGGACCTGATCTCTCTGCAGTCTTTCCATCCTCAGTGCTCTGGCTGGACTTCTCCCAAGGAAGATGTGCTCCTTCTTCTGGCGGCCCCCAGTACTTTGAAGATTGTGCACCAACACCATAATTCAAATATGCCCATTCCTTTCTAGTCCACCTGAGTCATTGTGCAGCTTTCCCAGAGGTATGAGGTGACTGAAAGCACCATGGCTTGGGCCGGGCACACCTTGGTCCTCAAAGTGACAACTCCTTAGCATGTTAAAGGAATATCGTATCCAAGTTCATGAAGGATTTCTGTGCATGAAAGAAACAGAGGCGACCCCAAAGAAAATGGGGTAAGTTATGCAAACAGGGAGTTACAGTGAGCATAAAACGCAAATGGATACAAGTTGTGCAAAGAGGATCTAACCTGGACATCTTCAGGGAGGTGAAAATGAAAACAAGAGTAAATTGTTTCTTTATTAGTCAACTTGGTAGAAATGTAACATTTAACAACACCATTTATTGATTAAGGTCAAGAGAGAGGTGAACATACTATTGGCAGATATAAAAGCTGGCACAGCTAAGTTGGAGGGACATTTGAAAATATATCTGTATGCTCCTATCAGATTTGATAGAGACATCCATTCTTAGTATCTTCCTCTGAGAATTATTAACATTTGTATTTAAGGGATGTATGAGGAAGTTATTTGGCACATAGTTTTAATAGTAAAAACCGGATCAAAGCAACACTCACTGTCCAATGATAGAAAAATGGTTTAATAAGCTAATGCATATCACGGTTTTGAATGACTGTGCTGCGGTGAAAAGAACGAGTTACATCTGCATGTCAGCATGTGTCAGCCAAAGGAAACTCTGGACAAACTGAGAGACATCACACATGTAAACTACATGTACAAAATAACCCCACAAAATCTTACAGCTGATATTTTCTATAGGCACATGTTTGCATACTAGAATATAATTTTATAATGATAGCTTAAACAATTTAAGTGGTTAAGAAAAAAAGCGCTGGAAAAAACTATCAAGATCACTTGATCTAATGTTTTTCCCAAGTGATATTAATGCCCTGCTGGTTCACAAAATGATTTTCAGTTGTCATAAACATAGCGTGAAATCAATTGAAATGTCATAGGAAGGAAGCTGTTCGATTTTCTATCCTTTCGACTAGATGAAAGAGACTTCTCAATCCATTGCCCACGTGGCCCTCCTAAAATGTGCTCATCCCCCATTTTGACAAAGAGCAAATCCTTGGCTCAGAACCTTCAATAGGAACAAAGTCGGTGTTGTTGTTAGGTCCACTCAGTTGTCTCTGAGCCACAGCTACCTGATGCACAACAGACAGAAACACTGCCCTGCCCTGCACCATCCTCCCTGTCGTTCCTGTGCCCGAGCCCGTTGATATGGCTGCTCATTCAAACCATCTCATCCAGGGTCTTCCTCTTTTTCACCAGCCCCCCACTTTACCAAACATGATGTTCTTCACCAGGGCCTCGTCTTCTGACGATATGTCCAAATATGTAAGTCAAAGTCTTTCCATCCTTGCCTCTAAGGAGCACCCTGGCCGTACTTCTTCCAATACAGGTCGATTTGTCCTTTTAGCAGTCCATGGTACTGTCAATATTCTTCTGCAGCACCACAATTCAAGTACATCGATTCTCCTGCATTCTTCCTTATTCATTGGCCAACTATCACATGCATGTGCCCCAATGGAGA